ACCACAGGAAGGAAGCGGGACAGCTGTTATTGCATGGAAGGGATTGCAATCATTGTGATGAAATTAAGTATATGATTTGTTGAATGTAAAACTGATAATCTGCTCTGTAAGCCTTCATTCAATTCACACACAAAAAAAGGAAAAAATATTACAGGCAGTCACATTTCACATGTAGTAGGCCAGGCAGAGGACTATTAATATAATTTAAGTTAAAGATAGTAAGTTTTTGGCAGTAGAAATGGGAATAAAGGTCTGTCTCAGATTATGTATGAGACATTTCAAAGGAAGATTTTTATTGTACTTGACTGATGATACTGGGAGATGGTTTACAAAGTGAAAAGCCAGAGATGTCTCAGTTGTCAAGCCTTTGTAACTGGAAGTCTACTCATCTTTATAATGGATGTGAAAAAGGAGAATGGCATAAAACAAGGTAGAGAAGGAGGAAGGACCAGAAAAGGCTGTAAGGAGCTGATGAATTATTATTAATATTAGGGCAGAGAGTTTGAATGTGAAAGATAGCAAAAGGTGCCCTGGTGGCACAGTGTGTTAAGCGTTGGGCTGCTAACTGAAAAGGTCAGCAGTTCAAACCCACTGGCCTCTTCACAGAAAAAGATATGGCAGCCTGCTTCCGTGCCGGGGTCTGGCCCCGACATAGTTGTCACGTGTGTTTGGTTCACGAGGAGGGGAGATCCAGCGGCGATAGGGATAGCGAAAGAATACACAGACAAACAGAAGAAGGGAGACAATGAGGCACCCCAAAGCCAGGGTGGATACATCACTGGTGGGCAGGCTTGGGACTACAGGCATCATGGCCTCTGCAGGCAGCGACTCACTGCCCTGCACCCTTTAATGGATGCCTTCCAACCCGTAACGCACCGCAATCTTTACTCCATGCCTTCCAACCAGTAATGCACAGATCTTTACTCCATGCCTACCAACCAGTAATGCACTGATCTTTACTCCATGCCTGCCAACCAGTAATGCAGTGATCTTTACTCCATGCCTGCCAACCAGTAATGCACACCTGGGGAGGCCCGGGCCTCTGCTTTATTTAGGGGAGGAGTTTCACACCAAGCTGGGAGGGACTAAAACAGGATACAGCTAACATCAGTAATTTTCCAGACATTCAGGTAACTTTACATTGTACTTCACTGGTTCGAATCCCAGGCCAGCAACTTGGATTCTCAGGCCCAATTAACATATCTATAGCCCCTGAGGTCAGTTGGGGGAAGGTGAGAGTTCTGCAGGAGACGCCCAGGTGAATGGGCTGTACCTGGAAAAGGGATTAGGGAGGATGGGTTCTTTGTCTATAGAACAAAGAACGGAGAAGTAGCTAAGATACTTTTAGTTAATCCTTTGGAGAAAGGTTTAACCTTGCAACCTTTAGTCTTGGCTTTAGGAAAATATTACATTTATCTGTGGATTTTCAAAGGCTCCAGTGTATTAATTTAATATGTATACCTGAATATTAATATGAAAGCAATTTGCCATTAACTGCCAGTGGCCTCATTTGTTACACTCGGCCCTAGAGGGCCTCAAACCTCTGACTAGTCTTACACGGTCTGCAACACTTCCGGAAAGATTTATAGCTTTGGAAACCCTGCTCTGTCCTAGAGAATGGTTATGAGTTGGAATTGACTTGATGGTGGGGTTGGGTTTGGGTTTCTAGGATATCAAAGGGAAATGGCTGATAAGCAGTGTAAGAAGGGGGACTGAAGAAAGAACTGGGATACACAGGTAGATTTCTTGACTTTATTCATGGAAAATAGTTAATTTCATGAGAGTAGATAAAATTTCAGAGGATTAGAGTATGAGATGATTGAAGGTTGTGCATTGGCCCACAATGCTAAATAGAAGGAGAGAACAGAACTGCAGAGATCTGAGGATACTGTAAGTCATATTATGGAAGCAAAATGCCGGTCAAATTTCAAAGAAGGATTGTGCCATTAGTAAATAGAGAATCAAAGGGAATGTGAGTTGAGAAGGGTGACAGTTGTTAGTTAGTAATGAAATTAGAATAATTTTGGCAAGTAGTAAGGACAGAGGAACAATTTTGTGAAAGAAAAAGTATTTTCTCGATCTCTACCAGAACTCTTTCTCAATCTGTGCTTTATATGAGAGGATGATTAACTTAGTACTCCTAAAAGGAAAAAAAAACCCCACAAAATCTACTGTGTGCAAATTGGAAAAAAATAGAGCAAGCAGTTGGAATATTGAATAATTAATTGTTGTGCATTTGAAAATTGCCCGTTTTTTAAGGAAAAAAAGGCCACATTGGTATTATGTCTAAACAATCTGTAAAATGTTGACAGGTGAGTAATGACTCTGAAAACCATAGCCTACTATTGTTTTTATACATTGTACTTTTCTGGAACAGAATATTAATTTCATATGAACTGCATAGATTATACATAAATCTTTTATATGTGTAAGAAAAACTGAAAGCCCATTGTTGTCTAGTTGAATTCCAACTCATAGTGACCTTACAGAATGGAGTGTAATTACCTCTTAGGGTTTCCAAGGCTGTAAATCTTCATGGAAACACTGCCTCATTGTTCTTCCCTGGTTGCTGGGTTCAAATTGCTGACCTTCAGGTAGCGGTCAAGCACTTAACCATTGCAGCACTAGGGTTGCTTTATATGTTTTGTTAAAGTGCTGTTGAGGCTGTTCCTACTTATAGAGTCCCTGTGTAGGATTTCCAAGGATCATCTGGTGGGTTTGAACTGCCAACTCCGAGGTTCGTAGTCCAGTGCTTATTCTACAGCACCACCCAGGAGTCCTTATATGTGACTGTCATTGTTAAGTGCCTCTGAGTCATTTCTGATTCATAGCAACCTTTATAGTGTTTCTGAAGTTTTTTAATCTTTAGGGAGAAGGAAGCCTTACCCTTCTTTCTCCTGTGTAGCGGCTGGTCGGCTTGAACTGCAAACCTTGTGGTTTGCAGTCCAATGCTTATTGTATGGAGCTACCATTTTCACCTTCTATATTATGTTGTTGTTGTTAAGTGCCGCTGAGTCAGTTCTCATAGTGACCCAGTATAGGGCTTCTGAGGAGCAGCTTGTGGGTTTGAACCGCTTACCTTGCAGTTGAAGAGCAGAGATGTCAGCTTGAGAACTAAGGTGCGCCTGACCCAGGCCATGGTGCTTTCAATAGCCTCATATGGATGCGAAAGCTGGACAGTGAATAATGAAGATCGTAGAAGAATTGATGCCTTTGAGTTGTGGTGTTGGAGGAGAATACTGAAAGTGCCATGGACTGCCCAAAGAACCAATAGATCTGTTTTGGAAGAAATGCAGCCAGAGTGCTCCTTGGAGGCCAGGATGGCTAAGCTTCATCTCTCATACTTTGGACATATTGTCCGGTGGAAACGCTGGAGAAGGATGTCATGCTGGGTAAGGTGGAGGGTCAGAGAAAAAGAGGAAGACCCCTAACGAGATGGATTGACCAGGTGGCATCATTGATGGACTCAAGTGTGGCAGTGATAGTGAGGTGGGCCCAGGATCGGACATTGTTTCGTTCTGTTGTGCATTGGGTCTCTATGAGTCGGTTCCGACTCGATGGCACCTGACAACAACAACCTTGCAGTTCAAACCACCTTTAGGTCCAGCACATTAATCCGCAGTACCACATAATGTAAAATATATTTGTTGTTGTTGTTGTTAAGGGCCATCGAGTCAATTCTGACCTATAGCAACCCTGTATAGGGTTTTCAAGGAGCAGCTGGTGAGATTGAACTCCTGAACCTGCAGTTCAAATGACTTTGCAGTGTGATGCATTAGCCCATAGCACCACACCAGGACATAAATATTGAATAATTTGACTTAGTACTGAATATTTATTGATCCAGGTAATTACTATGTAACTTAAAAACTGTATTCTTTAAAAAACAAAACAGTATTCTTTTAGAATTAAGTTTAGTTCAAACTTTGGTTTCTGGTTTGTAACTTAAAAAAAAAAAAAAAAACATTAAAAATCAGTAATGGCAAGTGATATTAGGTGATTCGAAAATTTGTACTGCATAATGTTTGAGGATTATGCTACTAATAATAAGTTGTAAATAACTTAATCATACTTGTGTTATCAATAAAAAACAAAGAATTTAAATTTCTATAATTAAAGGGACTAACTATTGAATTCTAATACATCACACATACATACATGTCTGTTGGGCTGTTTAAACATTTAGTAACTTATGATTAATTCTGAAATGCTTGAACCACCTACCCAAAAGCATTACACTTGTACCATAGGGGTAAATTATTACTTAAAATTAATTTGATACTGCAAATACATTAGTTCTTATTGTATTCATGTAGATCCCTTTAAAATTCCTTGCTTTCTCAGTATCAAGTGTTATAAAAATGTTCAAAATTCTTACAGTATATATGTTAACAAATATGTTAAGATACAATGATCCATGATATTAAAGTCAATCTGATTTAGTAATAATCACTTACTACATTTGTTTAAAAAAAGTGAGCCTTTTCAGTGGAGGATTTTGTCCTGCTTCATTTGGCTTCATAAATAAGGCTACTTCAAGTTATTTTACAGAAAAATGAAGGTTCAGTTTTAAAATTCATATTTACATATTCTTTGAACTGATTGGATTCTAAATTTGTAATTAATAAAACTATCAGATTTAGGCAACTGATTGTATTTATTCAAGTTAAGAATTTTAACAAGAAAACTAGTTTTTTAAATTGGGGAAGTTATAAAATTGATGACATTAAAAATGATGACTTTAAAAATAAATCTCTGCAGGTTTTTTCTCTTAATTTAAAAACAAATTATTTGAAACTTTACCCACTGGTTAATAATTTAGATTGTGACCATCTAAAGTGGATTCCTACATCAGTTCCACATCACAAAATACTTGAGCAAATGACAAAGAATTTTGATTCAAAAAAGTATAAATAAATGGTTTTCTTTGAAATTATGTGATGATATGTTTTGTCTTAATATACATTGATAGTGACTTTAAAACAAAAAACTCAAATATTCTATTATGGATTTCATGTCAGGTTATTAAATCACAGTACTTAGGGATGATTATAATTTATTGGCTTTTATTTGCCTCATTTCATTTAAAGCTTTCTAAATGCATTGGGTGGATCAACATTTTGGTTGATTTGATTGAGTATAACCTTCCATTTTGAGACTTCCAACATATTCCTCTTCTCTTCTCTGGCTTATTTTTTGTTCTTGATTTGATATATTTACCATTTAGATGGTTTTGCCCACATGTGTTGTTCCACCACCAACCTCCTATAGAAGACAGATATACAATTTAATGGACAGAAACTCATGTATAGTGTTTATTATATTTCTTTATGATTATATCTCATTCTTATAAACAGGACAGTGTTGTACATGCAAATATTAGATAATCTATAAAACTTTGCTGTGTAGCAAAAATAGAATATCCTAAGAATATCACACATAAATTACCCAGTTGGACTAGAATCAAATTTAAAATGTTTGTTTGCGATTCAGATTATCAGAGTTGATATTATATTTGATTGTTAATACTTTGGAAAATATTTTGAAGATATATAAATAAAGCATTGATATTAGAAAAAAGAGTACCTGAATAACCTTCTGAACAGTTGAGGTGTCCTTTTGCTTTGTGGTCCCACGTAGAAAACACCAAATCTTGGTGCTCTGGGAGTGCGTTGGGGATGTTGCTAATAACCTCAACTAAGTATAATGTGTAGTTGGTTTCATGATTTCCCAGGTGAAAAGAATATTCAACATAATGCTTGTTTTCTTTCCAATCTTCTAATTCAATTCTTAAAATGTAATTGGATTGCTTCACTATGGAGTATATTTTCTCTAGGCCCAACCAAAATTCTCCTGGAATGAAAGTATAAAAAAGTCTATAGATTGTTAACTATAGATTGTGCACTGATAGTTTTCTTTTTAGAGTAGTTTAATTGGTTCAAGTAAATGAGTTATTTTAGTCTTGAATTCTCTGATTTTTTTTTTTAAAGAGTCTTGTAAATATATTTTAAAAAGCAATTTTACTGATGTTATATGATATACAAAATATTAATATACCTATCTATTTAAAAAGGAGCTCTGGTGGTGTAGTGGTTACGAATCGGGCTGTAAACCGCAAGGTCAGCAGTTCGAAACTACCAGCGGTTCCGCGGGAGAAAGATGAGGCTTTCTGCTCCCGTAAAGATTTACAGCCTCAGAAACTCTATGCAGGGTTGCTATGAGTCAGAATGACTCCACTGCACATAACAAGAACAACAGTCTATCTAAAAGGAGCTCTGTTAGCATAGTAGTTACAAGCTGGGCTGCTAACTGCAAGGTCAGTAGTTTTTAATCTCTCAGTAATTCCAAGGGAGAACAATGGGGCTTTCTGTTCCTGTAGAGATTTATAGCTTTGGAAACCCTATGCAGAGCTGCTATGAGACAGAACCAACTCAGTGGTATATAACCACCACCACCTTCTATCCAAAGTTTGAATATCCATTTAAAAATGGAGATTACGTGAAATGTTTCACATGTGAAACATAACAGACTACAGTAAGTGTTTTTAGATTTGGTTTATTAAGTCCTTTTATGCAGGAATTTACTGTCAGCTGTTGACCAGAGCCTTTGCACCACCAAGATGTTAGATAGTCTAGAGACTTAGGTTAGAGTAATATCATTTTCCTCAAATATAAGCTTCGCCTTTGTTATTTGTTTGATATATACACTGTCTTTGCCTAGGAGAAAGCAATGCATTTGAAAAAAAAAATTAAATTCATAAAGCATGGCACTTAGTAACTTTTTGCTATAGCTTTTTTATATTTTGGATTTAAAAACATAACAAATGCAAATAGATTTGTTAAGTTATCACACTCTTTTAAAGAAAAGTGTTTAATGAAAATGAAAAGTTCATTTTCATTAGTAGGAGCCCTCTTTGTAAAGGATTGCAGGTACATTCAAATGTAAAAAACTGATTCCCTTGTTGGAAGGTAAGTTAGTACTCTAAGAACTAAACTGTCAGTTTTTTATTTCTGGATAACTCTTATTCTTAGAAGATTTGGAGCTATGAAACTTAACCATTTAATAGAGCTTTTATGTAATGATTTAACTAATAGCTTGAATTTTTAAGTGGTCCAATAGTACTGAGGATTTAGTAATTTGATATAATAATGAATGTTTTCCACTTGTACATCATTATAGATATTTATAATATACTTTTTGGATTTTAAACATATAATTTTACTTTGCTTATTTATTATCTTGTTTGTGGCCAAAATGGAAAATTTACATTGTGCTAGTTTATTTTAAACCACACATTCTACAATATCCATTTATAATATTTAAATAATGAAAATTTAAACTTATGTACTGTACTTTTGACAGTTTCCTTGCCCCTTCCAGCCTCCAAATAATTGACCATTTAAAATGTTACTGAGAGTAGAGTGATTAGTGCTAGGATCATCTATAGTACTTAACCACTATAAGTGCATGGTTCTCTTAGTCAAAATGATCTCTAATAAGTATAATTATAAACCATTGAATTAAACTATAATGAGTACAGTTAAGAACAGATGTATTTGTGATCAGTATAATTTAAATAATAAGTTAAAGTAAGTACAATTACTAACAAATGTGTAATTATTTGTTAGTAAGCTCTTTAAAGCTTTTTACTGTTTCTTGTTCATTGCTGCATTTTCAACACCTGGTCAATAATAGAGTGCCATAAATATTTTTAGCTAGCCAGTCAGCAAAAGAATGGATGAATGAAGTCACTTTACCATCAAGCCTTCCAAAACCCTGTTTATAGTTCTCCCAAGTTTCATTGAAGTTTTGTGATCCATCTACTCGGTGCTGAATTAAGGTCCATGATCTACCTGAATAAAATTAATACAATTGTATATTTTTATTAGATTTCTGTTGACAAATGTAAAAAATACTGTTCCTTGTTTTGTGGTGGAGGGGGCAGGGAAGATATGTTTTTAATTGGTGGCATTACAAAGCAGTTTATTAGTTTTGTTATGGAAATAACATTTTATTCTTATTGTGATTTCTTAAAATTAACATGAAGAGCAACTAAAGAATTTTTGTCTTAGTAAATGTGTTGATAGTAGTCTTTTTATATTATTTTATGGAAGGAGGTGTGAGAATGAGTAAATATATAAACAAGACGAATATCTGGACTGTGTTATATTGATTCTCATTATATAAAAATGACATATAAATTTCATTCTACATATATGCAGGTCTACGTTAGATAGCAAGATTGTTCTTGCTAATAGGTAGTGAGTGACTTGAATTAATCACTGTCCATTTCTCCTTAGACCGATCTTACCTGATTTAACATCACAGTAGACGTTGAAAACTTGAGAACTTCTGGGTCTAATAGCATAAATACCACTTGTATGTTCTCCTCTCTTATAAATGGTGGTGCAATCAAGAGGAATGCCTAAAAGCAACAAAATGTTATTATATAAGGTATAGTAATAAGGATAGCTTTAAAGGTTGACATTTTATTGGCTTTTATGGAATTGTCGTGCATGGTAGCCTTTTTCAATAATGTTTACATGAAACCATTTTTATTACATGGCATGGCCTATAAAGAATATTGGAATATTTATTAATAACCAGGCTGGTTTCTTTTAAGTGCTACAATGAGGACATTAAGCTCTGTTTTTGGTAGCCACAGGAAAAATCTAAAGTGGTAAGATGCCAAACATGGGACATAACTTTAGAGTTTGACACAGGTATATATAGAAAGAGTGAACATACATGAAGAAAATTGAGACCTTTTTATTTCCTGTATGAATTGCATAAGAAATAAATGTGTTTTGAGAGTATTCTTTTTTGGTTGGGAATAGAGATTTGTTCCCCTCAAGGTTTTACTTCTTTTATGAAAATTTTCAAGCAAATAGAAAAGTGGAAAGACAGGTCGAAGGGAGTCCTATATTCTATTTATCTATTCAACAATTAATGTTTTCCCACATTTGTTTTTAAGCACACACACCAAACAAGTATTTCGCTGTGCTATTTAATATAAGTTGTCTCTTCAGTATCTCAGTATATATGAGGTTATTCTCCTATATAACTGTAATGCCATTATCACATCTAAGAAAATTGATAGTAATTCCATATTCCATTATCAAATCCACATTCTTATTTCTCTGACTGTCTTAGGAATGTATCTTATGTTTTGTTTTTAAATTCAGAATCCAGTTTAAGTTACGCCTCTCTATTCTGTTTTAGTACAACAGACCCTGAGAATAGAGATCTTCGATATAAATGTCAAAAATAGAAAGAGAGAAAAAAAAAATAATGATGCTGCTTAGTAGCTTTAAGGACAGCCACCTAACTGTCTTACCATCATCTTCTACATTTTTTGTTTCATTCAGCTGAAGAGAAGGAGTAGTTCTTGGTGCTCTTGTCTTGGAAGGACCAAAATTTTCTGTGGGTTCTTGAATACCAGTCTTTTTCAGCTGATTAAAAAAAATATAAAAATGTACTTTAAAAAATGATAGTGAACATTACTTATTAAAATAGGGGCATGCTGCCTTTTTTGGTTAGGTTCATTTTATCATGATAAAAAGTATATTTTAAAAACTCTTTAGAAAGATAGCATATATAAGAATAAAGAAATGGGGGAAATTAAAAAGTAGATGTCAAAAGTTATTTTTGAATGATTGGCATTACTTACTAAAACTAAGGTTCATAAAATTACTGAAATACAATGATACTATAGTTATTTGGTAGAAATTGTTAATGGTTTTGTTATAGATTTTAGAAGCAAATTTTTACGAACTTTTTTGAGTTTCTACTATGATTTGAATACTCTTAAATGGCTGTTGAAGTGTACCACTAACTAATAGCTTTGAAATATTGAGCTACGTAGTGAAATGCTTTTATTGTAACATTGTGGTGTTGTTGTTATTAAGTGCCTTCTAGTCAGTTCTGACTCATAGTGACCCTGTATAGGGTTTCCGAGTTGTGGCTAGTGAATTTGAACCACCGAGCTTATGGTTCAAGCTGACCTTGTGGTCTAGTGCATTACTGCACAGTGCCATACCAGAACTCCATATTTTAAACAAGTATGCTCATCATCACCTAGTCAGTTGTTTACAGTATAGATTAATAACATTGTTGGGTGTTGAACATTTATTATCAGGTTGTACAGTTAAAAATAGCATTGTTGTTATTGTTAAGTGCCATCAAGTTGGTTCCAGCTTACAGGGTTTCTGAGAGATACGTAGTGGGTTTGAACCACTGAGCTTGTGGTTACCAGTCCAGTTCTTATCCTACAGTAACAGCAACATTGTTGTTGTTCAGTGCCATCGAGTTGGGTCCAACACATTATGATCCTGTATAGGGTTTCCAAGGAATAGTGGTGGGTTTGAACTACCAACCTGTGGTTAGCAGTCCAGTGCTTACCATACAGCTCCACACCAAGACTCCCAGAGTCAACAATAGCAAGTATATATTGACTGCTATGTTCTGGTGTGGCACAGCGGGTTAATGCGCTGGACTGCATGGTTAGTTTTCAGCCACTCCATGGAAACCTTATACAGGGTCTTTATGAGTTGGAACCAACTTGACAGCACTTAACAACAACAAGTTGTTGAATGTGATACTACCTTTATGAATTCAACAAATATTTATTGAGTGCCTGCTCTGTTTTAGGAGTCCTGGTATGGCACTGAAGGATAATACACTGGACCACAAGGTCGGTTTGAACCACAAGGTTGATGGTTCAAACTCACCAACTGCTCTTTGGAAACCATATACAGAGTTGCTATGAGTCGGAATGACTCAGCGGCACCTAACAACAGCAACTCTGTTTTAAACAGTGTTCTGTGTTCCCAGGCTACAGCAACAAACATAATGGGAAAAATATATAGATACCAAGCTCACAATTTAGTTCAGATAAGATATATATTATGTTATACTGGTGGTGGTGGTTATATGCCATGGAGTTGGTCTAGGGATAAGTGCTAAGGAGTCATAGAAATTAGTGAAGGTTGAAAGTTTGAGAATGGGAGGAGGGAGTTGTTAGTTTTAATTGGGTGACCTGGGAAGGCTTCATCAAGAAGAATTGTATGAAGACCTAAAGAAAAAAATTTCATAAATTCCTAAAGAAAATGAAAGAGTGAGCCATGGAGATTATCAAGAACAGCATTACAGATAGAACTATCAGGACATAGAATGAGGATGCAGCCTGACCAATGTGAATAACAATGAGGCCAGGACTCCAGTGTGAGTGTATGAGAGGAAATGAAGTCTATGAGGTAATGAAGGGTCAGGGTTACCTGGGTTCACTATGAGTGAGATGGGGAAACAATGAGGGATTTGAGTAAAGAGACATAATCTAATTTAAGTTCTAATAGGACCACTCTGTTTGCTACAGTGAGATACATAATGAGTTTAATTTCTTCTAACAATAATCCTATAAAATAGATTATATTAATTTCTTCTTAGAATACATAAGGAAAGTAATATAGAGGTTAAGTGATTTTTTATTCAAGATTCAAACCCAGATCCTGGTAGTTTTTTCAATTCAGAGCCTAAAATCTTAGCAGTTATGTTTATATCATCATTTCACTTTCCTGTTAAAACTTTTAAAATAATTTTAGAGTCCAGTATTTTTATAAACCTAAATTTTAGGTAAAAGATTTGGACATATCGTTAAAATATCAACTTACCTGATTTTCTATTTCTTTTATTTGATTATGTTGTTGGTTTAATTGTTTGTATTGCTCTTCCACTGTCTGGAGAAGGTCTTTGATGTTACTGTCTTGTTGTTCTACAAAAGTCTGGACATAGATTGTAGGTTGGTTAACAGCTTCTTTCTCTCTCCACTTCCCTGCCTGCCTAGACCTTCTTCCTCTCCTTACTTCTCTTCTTTCTATCCCTTCTCCTCCCTCTGTCTTTCCTTTCTTTATGTTAGATTATTATTATTATTTTTTTTTTAAGTATTAGTAGATTAGAAAAATGGATATTGGTTGGCATCATTTTTTTCTTGCATACTTCTTTCAGATAGCACATATTTTTCTGTTCTTACATTTTATTTGAATGTACATCTCTACAGTTTGAATTTTTAAGCTTCAAACTACCTCAGTTAATTGAAAAAAATACAGCATTTTAATAGGAATAAATCTTTATCATTTATTGTATAATTTAAATATTCAAAACATGGGAGAATGGTTTTAAATTTATACTTTATTAACTTTACTTGCCTCCAGTAATTTTCAATGCAGTAATAACTTAATGTTCTAAATGTTAATACTTTAATTATTTGTAATTTTCATATGAAATAGAAAATTTAGTTTTCATATATAATTTTTGGTAAACATAAAAGCCAATTCGAAATAGCAGGTGGGCAGTTTTATGTTCTCCAGATTTTTTCTTTGAGAGCACATTTGCAACAAATTAACAAAGAGCATGGCTTAGAAAAAAAATTTTTTTAAAATGGTCTACATTGAAAATCTGATCCTGAACCCTCTTTAGTTTTTACTTACTTTAAGTGAAGTTACTTCTGGGTGTTGCTGAATTTCAGGCGAATTTTGAATTAAATTAGTTAATTGCTCCTCCAAATATCTCACTTTTTGTTGAAGAAGAATTTTTTCTTCTAGGAGACTTTCAAGTTTTGAGTTGAGTTCAAGTGACATATTCTTCATTTCTTCATTTTTGACTTGAAGTGTGGATGTGGTTCTTTTAAGTTCCTTTTCTTCTTCTTTGATCTCATTGGTTTGCAGTGATAGATCATAAAAAGATTTATCAAATATGTTAAGTTTTTGAAATATGTCATTAATTTGGCCCTTAGTCTTATGGACAAAGTCTTTAAGGCCATGTCCCAACTGGAGGAGACCATTCGCTAAGATTTTAACATCATCTAGCATAGCAAATCTTGATTTTGGCTCTGGAGATACTGAATCTATTGACGATTGATCTTGGTTAATTCTGGAGGAAATAACTAGTGGGACAATAAAAAGGAAGAGCTTAACTGTGTACATTTTGAATCCTAATTATATAATTTTCCAGCAATTTGGAGCTAGTTTTCTCCTCTAAGCAGATCTAGATCGCTAAAATCTATATATAGCCTATTTGCCACATAAAAAGGCAAGGTGGGCAGGTGAATATAGTTAATCATTAAGCTGTGTAAACTTGTAGCAATGTAACCTTTTGTCACATTTAGATCAATGCTAAATGAAATAAAAGAAATGAGTAACTTAATAGGTTATTTGAAATTATGTTACTTGTATTTAACTTTGTTGTAAGCTGAACTTTCAGTATTTGGGTATCTCCTTAATTTTAAAAGCTCTTTATGTTTCATAATTTAAATAGAGATTTATGAAGTAGAAAAGCAAACTCTTTTGACTAGTATATTGATGATTAAAGTTGAAGAAAAATTAATGAAGTATGCATTTCCTAAGTTGCCTGTAGTTCTTATGGAAACAGTAATATTAAAAGGCATTTTATCCATTTTCTATGTTCTACCCTTTTCCTCTATGCTCACTGAAAGATAAATAATTAGTAGTCTTCTGGTCAAAGCAGAATTAAATCTTAAATACTGTAAATGTCAGAAACTATTTGGCCATTGTAGGTTTTTCTGAAGTTTGTGATGTTGGTAACACTTTTTAAAATACAAACTTAATACAAACAAACAAAAAACTAAGATTGTGTACAAAAATAAATGTTCTACTGTTCAAACCTAGTGCTGAAAGGAAAAATATTAAATGCTTCCATTAAATCACAAATGATTCTTTTATACTTGTTGAATGTTCATATTAAGAATTTATTGAAAAAATAAATTATTTAAAAATCCTTGTTGTTGTTAGTTGCCATAGAGTCAGTTCTAACTCATAGTGACCTTATGAACAACAAAAGGAAACACTGCCTGGTCTGGCGCCAAAAAAACGGTTTTCTCTTGAGAAATTAACACAGTGAAATTGTTACATGTGGGCTTTGTAGTCAACCTTCTGCCTGGGTTTAAAAAGCCAGTCCCTGTGTGTCCTGCCTTGAAAAAATTGCTTAACCTTACCATATCTATTTCCTTATGTATAAAGCTGGAGCAATAATAAGATCTACCTCATTGGATTAAGGAGCTCTTGTAGCGTAGTGATTACAAGTTGGGTTGCTAACCTCAAGGTCAGCAGTTCTGTGGGAGAAAGATGAGGCTTTCTGCTTCTGTAAAGATTTACAACCTCAGAAACCCTATGCAGGGTTGCTATGAGTCAGAACTGACTCCTTGGTACATAACCACCACCGCCACTTCATAGGGTTATGAAAAATCTGTGTAAACCATTGCCATCGAGTTGACTATAACTCATAAACAGACTAAAGAAGGTTTCCAACACTATGAATCTTTACGGTAGTATATAGCTTCACCTTTCTCCAGTGGAGTGGCTGGTGGGTTTGACAGCCTTGTGGTTAGCAGTCCTGTGCCTAACCCACAGTGCCTCCAAGGCTACTTCTTCTGTATAAAGCACGTAGCATAATGTCTGACAAATAAAAAATACTATGTCAATTGTTACAGTATATCACATGAAACTAACTTTTAAACTGTGTGTTTGTGTGTGTGTGTATAATCAACTCATATTTAAAAGAAATTTTTCATACATACCTTTTGAATAAAGGGGAAGTTTTGTCAAAATGAATTTCAGTTTAAATAATGATAAATGTTTAAGTAAAATTTTATAGAATGAAACCATCTCAAAGTTTGAAATCTTAGAATATCCTCTTCCAAATATAAAACAGTCCCCCCTTTTTTTTTTTTTTAATGATTCTGGATTAAGAGTTTTTGGGCATAATAGTACACAATACTGCTGGAACTGGATTGCCATCTCTGCCATTCTTCAAGTGTAGCCTTTGGTCAAATTATTTAGCTTCTTATCTGTCAAGTGAAAATAATACATTGTTCATAGAGTCTAAAAAGATGTCTGTTATTAAGTGCCATCGAGTTTATTCCAACTCATAGTGACCCTCTATAGGATGTCTGAAGCTGTAAGTCTTTGCAGGAGCAGAACTTTTCCCCATGGAGTGGCTTGTGGGCTCATATTGCCAACCTTGTGGTTCATAGCCCATTGCTTATCCTACAGAGCTACTGCAGTCCCATGTAAAAATTATATATTAACATTTTCAAAATACTTATATATTATATACTTTATCATAGAGTAAGCAGTGCACAAACGTCATATATGAAGGGGCTTAAAGTTCATGGGAAAATTCCGTTAACTTTTAATTACATTTTTCCATGATTTTTTTTTTAAAGCCCTTCAAATTAGCTACTTTATGTAGAAACTAGGAATGCATGTATGCCTATGCTAATAATATTTAATGGTGAAAACGATCTAATCTTGTGTTAAGCGCATGTAAATTGGGAACTTTTTCTGGGTTCTAAATTTTCAGAGTTCTCTTTATGAATGTTCTGGCCTCTTGGAACTTGACAAGTATAAGGAATTTTGTCTTTTGATTAACTTGTGTATCCTTTTTCTAATTGTGCATTACCATTTTCAAACTCATAGTAACTCTATTTGTTAGAGTATAACTGCCCCACAGAGTTTCCACGTTGTAATCAATAGAAGCAGACTTCCACATTTTTCTCTCGCATAGCTGTTAAGTTTGAACCTCAAACCTTTTAGTTAGCAGCCAGGTATTTTAATCACTGCACTGCCAGGACTCCTCCTTTGTCCAATATAGAACCATATGAATGTTTCTGTTCATAGCAGAAATAAAGAGCACAAGTAAAATAAAATACTTCCAACTAAAGAAAAAGAAGCCAAATAGTTTCCTTATGCTTTATTTTTATCATACTCCACCCGCTGGTCAGGTTATGGAATTGGAAAATGTATATATTGAACTAGCAAAGACATTTAAGTGTTTTCCTTCTTTCAAGAGAAAAGTTTCTATTGTGATCATTGGTCATGAAGGGCATATTTCGAAACTTCTCCTAACTAAGCTGTCCACGTTTCTGGCTTAAAATTATCGACCCTGATGATTTCATCTGCTTGTTAGTTGAGGGGGAATTGAGATAGGTCAACTTCTCTCTTTTGTTACATGATACATGTTTATTGGGAAGATGTATAGCTGCTTTTTTCTTGATATTCCTTATAGTGCTTTAGCACAGTATCTTGCATATTGTTGAAACACGGTAGCATTTATTGATCAAATAAGAGAGTAATAAGATCATAACATTCTTAAATGTGAAGTTTAGAGATTGCAAATACCACCCTTTGGCATAGAAGGTTCCTTTTTAGAGAAAGAAGTTTGAAAATAGCTCTTTTTTAGTGCATGAAAGTAATTGGGGTGCGGATGGTAAAATAATGGAATTTCTTTCCATTTTGCTGCTGTACTAAAATGTGAATACTTGTGGTAGAATTTATGCACTTCCTTATATTTAACCCTGACAGATTAGAGGTAGTGGTGGTTATGTGCCGTGGAGTCGGTTCCAACTCATAGCAAGCCTGTAGATGAGGGAAATGGTCACATATTCTTGGGTTGTATATTTTCCACTGTATATTTACTTGATATTAGTGAATATAATTAGGGTATTAATTACAAATATAATTTTAAATTACAACCTGCAGTAAGTTTTTAGCATGGAGAAGTGTAATAAAAGTAATAATTTTATAAATAAGCTTACATTTGTCTTTTAATGCCTCCTGTTTCAGCTATCTCAGTGTACATTGTTAAAAACAGAAACTAATATTTTCTTGAACTTGTGCCTATTTAGAACCTTGATCAAATATAACCAGTAACATTATAACTATTAACATTTTTTTATGCCAAAGAAAATAAGAAACTCTCAGGTTAAAAATAAACTGAAGTCCTAATATGAGTATTCTTAGTTTTTAATAGCAAATATATTACATTTCTTAGCTACTTAGAAATTTAGGACACTAGGACTCTTGTTTAATTTCCAAGCAAAGCAAAGTCCTTTATCTCCCTCCCCCAGGTTGTGCAACCTAATGGACATATGATCTCTAAACAAAGCAGAAGGCGTTTTGGCTCTTTTGAAAAGAGGATCCCATTTAATTTCTGTCTTTTAAACTAGTATCACTTTAATTTACATTAATGCACTTCGTAGAAATATTCTGAAAGGAATGTTTGTGAAAAAGAATTTACAAATAGAAATGTTCATAATAATAAATACTTTATTTTGGTGTTAGTATGTATTTTATGATTCTTCTCCTTTTTTTAACCAGAACAGCACTGTCTAAAAGAACTATAATGTGAACTACATATGTATTTAAATATTTTTAGTAGTCACATTAAAATACTAAAGAGAAACAGGCACAATTTAATAATATATTAATGTAAAATTATTACTTCAGTATGTGATATATATAAAGCAATTATTAAGATATTTTATGTTCATTTTTTCATATTAAATATTCAAAAACTGATGTCTATTTTACTTACAGCATATCTCGATTAGAACTAGATACATTTCAGGTGCTCATTGTTGTTGTTAGGTGCCGTTGAGTTGGTTCTGACTTATAGTGACTTAATGCACAACAGAATGAAACACTGCCAGGTCCTTGTATCAGGTCACAATCGTTGTTACGGTTGAGCCACTGTCTTCCTCTTTTTCACTGATCCTCCACTTTTTGATGTCCTTCTCCAGGGACTGGTTCCTTCTAATAATATGTCCAATGTATGAGAGACGAAGTCTCACAATCCTGGCTTCTAAGGAGCATTCTGGCTGTACTTCCTCTAACACAGAGCTCTTTGTTCTTTTGGCAGCCCATGGTACTTTTAATATTCTTCTCCAACACTTTAACTCAAATGCATCAGTTCTTTTACAGTCTTCTTTATTCATTGTCCAACTTTCACATGCATAAGTAGCTTTGGAAAATACCATGGCTTGGGTAAGACACACCTTAATCCTCAAACTGACATCTTTGCTCCTGAACACCAAATGCTCAATAGTGTCACTGAACTATGGCATATAACCACCACCACCACCACTATTGAACAGCAGAGGTCTAGGAGATGAATAAATGTTGAAGCACCCATTTTATTTATTGACTTTTGTTTGGTGTTAATAAATGTTAACTTTTAAAATACTGATAATACTAATTATGGAAATTCATCT